AATATAAAATTTAAATAAATTTTCACATTTTTTAACCCATTGTATTTGTATACTTGAGTGGGCTGCAATATATATATATTCTTAATATTTAAGAAAATAAAGAGCCGCGATTTGAGCAAATCGAGTTACTTTTGTCAACTTATTAAAGTGTAGTTCACCGTCTCCTTTGGGCAAACAGATTAAAAAAAAATCGAGTTACTTTTGTCACCTTATTAAAGTGCAGTTCAACGTCTCCTTTGGGCAAACGGATTCAAGAAAAAAGAAAAAGAAAAAGGAGCGAGGACTTGAGGTGACGACTTGCAGTCAGTCTTCACTTTGTTTGCTTATAAATTGAGCGCTCGTTTCGCCAGAATTTACATAATCAGAGTTTGATAAAGACAATTAGAAGAAAAGATCACACACCACCAAAAGAGAAATGGATCCACCACCACCACTGCCGCTGCCACCTCCAAGGAGTTACCGCCGTATTATCCTCATACTGAAGCTCCTGACCATCGTTTTTCTATTGGCAGCGCTAGTTGTCCTCGCCACCGATACTGAAACCATTGAATTATCCAACAAAACAGAGTTCATCATTTTACGTATTCATTTCAAGGACATGTACACGTACCGGTGAGTTGCTCATCCTAATAATATTAATTAACCTTGCGATTTGTAATTTGGGATCAATTTTCATTAACGTTACTTATGTTGCACCAACAGATACATGCTTGGTGTATGTGTAATCGGAATGGCATACACACTATTACAAATTGTATTTTCATTTTACAATATCCGCACTGGAAAACGTCTAAGCAATCCGACCTTTGATTTTTATGGTGACAAGGTATATTATAATTTAAATTCAAATACTTATTTCTAATTAATATAGGACATATGATTGCAACTGCAATTAAAAAAAAAAAAAGATTTTGTTTCATTTACAAACCAAGAAAAATAATGCATCATGACAGGTTCAAAATTGCTTTTATTGGCTTGGAGCATGATCAAGTTTAACTATGAAAATAATGTTTGAATATTTTAATGAGTTGAAGTCCTCGTACAGCTTCTATCTTATATACTGGCAACTGGGGCAGCTGCAGGATTTGGTGCTACCAGTGACATGCAGTCTACATTTCAGAGAGTTAATTTGTTGGGTAACTTTTTCAAAAGGGGATATGCGGCCTCCGCGTTGGTCTTATTCGGCTTCGTTTACGCTGCACTCTTATCCATTTTCTCCTATTATGCTCTTCCTCAAAAGGTCTAAATATCATCATCTGCCGTTCAAGGCTTCAACAATGTCAATTAGGTTACTCTATTTCGGCTAGAATATACATAATGTGGTGTTTATTGTATAGTAATACTTAAGGTCCTGTGTGTTATTGTAAGATGATGGAACTGTGGGATGTTATTACAATAAATACTCTTGATGCGTGGTTTATCAAGTTAGCATCTATGAAATTACAGAATCTTAATTTTACGGTTAATGTTAAGAATTGAAATAATCTTTACCTAACTAATTATATGTTCCCTGCATGTTATTTTTTTTTAAAAATAGATTACAAATTGAGGTGAAGGTAATTGAGATCAATCTAAAAAGTTGAAAAATGAACTTATTAAAGATATTAAAAATACTAAAACCACTAGATTGAAAAGATCAAGTGCATTTTTCCACATGGTATATAGGATGATTCTTAGCCAAAAATATTCCCTGTTTTATTTCTTTTGTAAAATGAGATACTTCATTTCGGATCTGATTAAGAAGAACCAATAATCATGAAACTCAAAATGATGGTTTTAATATTGGGATTTCCCAATAGTTTGTAGGCATACTCTTGATTCTTGAAGTTGCATTTGCTATTCCCATGTCAAGTATTTAAGACTGCAATTTGGATACTCTTTAGGCCTAATATCAATGGAAAGGAATATGTATGTTAACCTTGATATTGAAATTTGAATATTTTTTGGGTGGATGAAAAGTTTAGAGGAGGA